GGAAGCGAAGGCGCATGCTTCTACAACTGTTCGAACTACTCCCAACAAAAGAAAAACTGCTGAATTTCAGGCTGTTAACAAAACAAAAATGTCAGAAATCACAACTCAGCCCCCGTGTGATAGGCAGGAGTTCCGTTTTTTATTTCAAGTGGAACCTTGTCTGATTTTTGTTTTGTTAACAGCCTGAAATTCAGCAGTTTTTCTTTTGTTGGGAGTAGTTCGAACAGTTGTAGTAGCATGCACCTTCACTTCCCCATGAACTCGTCTGAATAGTTTTGTTTTGTCTAGTTGAAAGCTTTATGTAAGAGGTCTTGACATGTTTTCTTTTGCCAAATTAGCACGAACTACAGCAACAGCATCGCCCCTTCACGCGCCAATAGACTCGAAGGTATTTTAAGTGACAGGAGAGTTTGTGTATAATAATAGTTGTTGAGAGTCCAGAGTTGTGCAGCCCATTCATCGGTGCAGGATGCATGCGTAGTTATATGGGGAGGGGTGTCGTGGCGCAGCAGTTTGTCCCGGCTACAGCAAACAAGATGGCTAGCCTGTCGGATAGGCGAGCTTGTGTGCTGGGTTGCAGGACATCTTGGAAAGCTTCAATACTTATCAAAAGATTTTTACAACAATACATGTAAAGTGTCTCAAAAATTATGGACCGACCTAATAGAATTGTAGAACGTTTTGACCACGTTCCGCAAAAATTTACTTTTGTATGTTCGTCGCGGTGAACCTGAATACGTACGTGCTTGCCCTTATCAGATCTGTGGGTACGGATTGAAGCCATATCCACAAAACTCGCTAAACTGTTGAGAGTGCAGGCTTCAGTAGTTGGAAGAAAGATGAGGGGTCGGAGAGGAGGGGACACTATCGCTTCGAATACTCTCTGTCTTTTCAACCAGAAACGCCCCAACAAGAGGGCCTATTGGTACTTTGTGAGGTATGTATGTGTGTAATTGTAAAAATGTACCCAGTGTAGTTAAATAGAGTCCTTGAGAACATAAGGATTAGGATTATAACATTTAGCGAAAGAGTTCATCCAGTTGCAATCCTAACCTCTCGATACATATTCACTAATTACCACCCACCTTTTCATAACTCCCAGTAATATATTACGATCGGCGCAATGTGGCTCAGGGGGGAGGGGGCACTCGTAAAAAGGCCTCTAGGACTAACCATAAGCCTAGGCAGCAGGGACGAACTCCGGAGAATACGAAAATTGCTTCCGTACACCGGAGTTCCTCCCTCTTCAAAAGCTTAGTCCTAAAACTGGAGCATTTCCGTGATCTTGACGCGATTACATGCCACCTCCCCCAAGCCACATTGCGTCTTATGATCTTATGTTTATTTGATTTAATTGTTTTTTTTTTTCGGATTACTCGAGAAGTGGCTTCGTTGAAAGAGTAAAGAAAGTAATTTTAATAGTATTCCAGTATAGAATCCTTTTACAGGAGGCACTACTGGATGGTGAGGCACAAGAAGAGCGATGAGGAATATGCAGCGGATAAAAAGACAAGTGCCATTGGCGACGTCCATAGAAAGGTACTGTTCCTCGTATCGTGTAGTTTTCTCGCTATGTAGCACTTTTCAGCTAGTGCATGTCCGTTCACGTAAGGATCGCGTCAACGAGGCATTGGAAGCTCTGCAATCGTACACTGAAAAAGGTGGAATACTATGTCATAAGAACAAAGTCAAAGCACTTGCTCTTTACCAAACGTTATTAAAAGCCTGCGAGAGCGAAGGAGAGTACATCAGGTAGGTAATAAGTTCGTGACATAGCACTTATGTATTGAAAGAGGCAGGGGGTGAAGAAGCTGACGTAAGCCATTTAGAACCATAGTATACATCTTTGCTCTTTGGTTGTAAGCAGTTGTGGTCTAAGGGATGAGGATTTCGGACAAAGAAAGTGCTTTAGATTGGAAACAGGCTTCCGGTCATGAGAATTTTTATTCGCCACTCGGGACTCTTTTCTCGTTTTTCTCGCTCCATCCAGCACCAAGAGGCATAAAAAATACAAAACAAATAAAGAAATGACGTAGAAATGCACCAAGAGTCCCCAAACCTCTCTCTCTTCTTCCTAAGTACATGAGCGCCTGTAATTCCATTGGTCCGCAGGTAAACGAAATGATTCATGTTTAGAAGGCTTCTCAGCGAGATCGAAAGGATACGAAGATTTGAGTTCAGAAACAAGATGAAAACCCATTTGAAACGGCATGCTCTGATGCAGCTGATCAATTTACAGGTATGAGCGAATGTTGCCTCTTAAGCTTTGTGCTTTCTTGTCATCTCAGCAGGTTGTCGTTCGGGTTGAGTAACTCTTACCATGTTCAGGGAACATCGTTACCACTTTTCGTCGGAGGTGTCGACGGTTTCCCTCCTCCATTCGTTGGTGCAATAGCTATTCCTGAAACTACCCCCTTGAAGTCAGGTGATTCCGTGGCAGCCTATGTTGACGAGAATTGGATTCTTGCAGAGGTTCGTCCGTTTGTTTCAGCTTTTATGTTCCTTTTGGTTGTACAAAAAAATAATATGGAGAAAAATCGATTATCTGAGTGATGGGACGCCTTCCACATCACCCACCTTCTCTTCTAGATGGTTTTGTCTATGATTGCATTTCATTTAGTAAGATTGATTTCAGGTCGTTGCAGTTAGTCCCACGGGCCGATATGATGTGAAAGATGTGGATGACGAACAAAAGGTATTTATTAGTTCCTGTCCGTTTTGATGAGGTTGCTCATTGCTTCTAACTACAGGTTCGGCTCACAATAGCTCGTCGTCGCCTCATTCCCCTGCCAAAGTGGAGAGCTGATCCTGAGAGGGACGCTCATGCGTTGTTTCCTCTCGAGGCTATCGTTCTGGCACTGTATCCACAAACCACTTGCTTCTATAAAGGTAGGCGTACCTTTAGTCACTGTGTAGTGAATGTTGGTTAATGTTCTTCAGAAAGCACGCAAGTTACGGTTTTTTTGCTCGGGTTGGCCGCCTTTACTAGGAACTGAACGTTTGTTTTTAAAGTGCAAACGAGAGTTCCGAGCGGAATTCCTGCACTCCCGTCCCTTCTTTTCGAAACCTTAAAGCAACAGTCCCAGCAGGGTTTTACCTTCGACACTAATGGTGTGGAACGATGCGCTAGCCCTAGTCAAGAACATAAAAGTGTGACTGAACAAAAAACTCACCTTGGAAAGCCGCTAGAAAGGGAGCTGAACAGGCTTCGAAGTGGGCGTGGTTGAATCGGCCGAAAGGGTTGCAGCCGACTGAGTAACCACGCCTTTCCAAGGTGAGTTTTTTGTTCAGTCACACTTCTTATGTTCTTGACTAGGGCTAGCGCATCGTTCCACACCATTAGTGTCGAAGGTAAAAACCCTGCTGGGACTGTTGCTTTAACCCAAAGCATTGGCATACATGCGACATATTTTTGTTAGTGATCGTGAGTTGCGCTCGTTGAAGCAGTACTCCACATCATTTTTAACTGATACTGGTCACATAAAAGTGGACCAAAAATTTATGCGCTTGTCTTGAGAATGCAACTTGTGATCTACTTTTATGTACATTGTAGTCTTGCATGTTACTTTGTCATTGAGCAAAGAGTCTTTAGACGACAAGTCATTTCAGGAGTCGTGCAAAAGGTACCTCAACTTGCCACCGATGATTATCTTGTTGCTTTCGAAGATCCTTCATACAGCAACGGATACTCGCCTCCGCTGCCTATACCTCAGCGATACGTTGTGTCGTATAAAGAGGTGAAGGGTAAAAATACCAAAGCATAAAGCACCATCAGGTAATACTACACACAAGTTGTACATAATTTATGCACATTGAGTTGTATTTATGGAATATTATTGTAATAAAGTTCACATATTTTTGGCGAAATTCTTAGCAATGGTCGGATGGATGACCAAGAGGCTGTGTGCGGTGCCGTGTGCAGCAGTTTACGACCGGGAACAAATCATATTGAGGATTCTTCCCCGGCCGGTATGGAGCTAGAGAACGGAGTTTACAATGAAAAGCAGCCCATCAGAAATCAGCGTAGAGCCGGTCACTGGTGCAGGGATGAAAAAAAAAACAATGAGGAACGGCTCAGAAGCCGAGAAGTGGGGCCTCTTTTCTGCCCATTAATTTCCGCATTCGTGCGAATCATGGGTGTGCCCTCTTCAACGCTAACACTAATAGAGCCAGGGCCAGATGTCGAGGGGGTAGAAGTGCCGCGGCGCGGGTACGGCCCTGTTAAGCCGCTGGGGCATCCTCTTCGTTGCGAAACGCGCATCGCCCGCACCTTCAGGGGGCCGCGCCTTGCGTCTAGTACATTTCCTCCTCTTCGATCTCGACCTTATCGTGAAATCTCCATTCAAACGGCGGCACCGTAGGAGCGGCATTGGCGAGTCGTGCGGACCTTAATACCTTAATACCCCACCTTTGGGGATTCGTTCCCGCCCGGGACTCGTACGGCTCCATGACTGAGCCATCTTTGCGAGGTGAGGTAAAGCAACAACACAGACAGGACTAGTCAATTTTTCTCCATTTTTTTCTATTATCAATCTTCTTGAACGTTGACAGCCTCACCTATTTGGGAGCAAAGGTTTAGAAATACTTCGAACTTGGTAGCCATGGAAAAATCCATCTTTCGTTAGCAGTTTGGCATTCCTCAAGGTCGGATAACACGCAAAGGTGAACTGGCTTTCGATGGCACTCTCTTGTTAAAATTGGCAACATTCTCTACTATTGTGTGCTGTCCCGTATTGGAGTGTTCTAATCTTCAAAATTCAGAAAATAATCAGCATTCTAATCTCCATGTAACTTTTGGAACAACTGAACTCAATACTATGACAAACAATATGAAATCCTAATAATTTATTATTTTTTGTGGATCGACTAGAGGTGACTATCGAGTTGCAGCCGTATAATCAACACCTCGATCAAGTCTCAGTCGAGGCTTCAACCTTGACAAATTCGGATTTTCCTCTTGCAGTCGTTCCAGCCATAAACTCGCAGTTTTGTTGTCATTCCTGCAAAGTTCATATTTTATAGTACCCATCTAGGAAAATAACTAACCATGAGTTAGCTTCATTTTAAACTCTTGATAAAAGCATCCTCACCTGTGCATCGCACCAAGTGCGAGAATTGTTTCATTTTTCTGTTCGTGGACTGAGGTCTTCCTTTGGTACCGCTCATTTTTCCATTCCGTGAACCAGTGCGAGAAATCCTCTTCGAGCTGAACGACTCACGACTTCAGGTGAATCCAACATACGAAAGAAGCTAAGGTACGCATACCCCTCACTTACCGTTTCATGTTTGAACTCATCACTAGGAGGGTGAAGCGGTGCACATGTCATTGCTACATACTGCACTTGATGCTCCATTACATACACTTTGGAAGGACCATCAATAAACACCTTCAAAAAACTTTGATTTACAGGTTGTATTCTCTTAAGAATATAGTGTGACATTACAAACCTCTGTATCATCCGGAAGATCACGAATCAGATTTTTCTGCGTCAAACTTTGCGCAAAAGCGAACCAGGCATCTTTCTCGGTTTCAGTGGGCGCAATCTTAACACATGACATTCACTGTTTCCAAAATTTGCCTCTCAAGAACAACGCCCATCTTCTACTGCCAGTGATTTCTTGAACTTATTCAAAGTATGGTAGCTGGTGAGTGCCCACCTATACTAGCACTTGACACTGGCAAAGTCGTAGGATGAGGAACCTCACCCTCGTCAACGAAATGGCTGTACCAGGATCAGGACACATCATTTTTAAAGCGACGCCTGCTAGTTCAGCCGGAGTTAGCGATTTACCTGGAACGAATGAGAAGATCAAAATATTGAAGCGAACAATCCTAGGAAAAAACTTTCAAAAAAAATAACAATAGATACACAGAGGAGCAATAGCCATTCATTTCGTCACAAGATGGGATAAAATCTCCTATGATCAGCTCGCCCAGGGGCCGGGTGCAGCAAGCTCCAACTAGGGGATGGACACTCAAGGGTGAGGGGATGGTTCCCCATCCCCTAGTTGGAGCTTGCTACACCCGGCCCCAGATCTCGTGCTCTTCGGAAAGCCCTACACAGTGCTAGGTGTACACTACACTACTGGGGCCATGCCACGCTAGGACCACCTCGCTATATTGCCACTGCGAATTACGGCAAAATCGTGAGTTGGCAAACAAAATAAATACAAATTCATGTTTGGCTTGTACTCAATGACATGTAAAAAATTAACTGGACAACGAATACCTTCCACATTCCGACGGTCTAGGTACTTATTCGAATACCTTAGCTTCGGCATCCAATAGAGCATACGTTTTATCTGAAAAAGCTTACCTAGTTAATGGAAATGTGGAACTACCACAACAAGCGAGCAAATGCGACTCAAGAGAAACGTACCTTCCGCGTTGCAAAATTCCATTCTCCGAAAGCATTCACAACGATATCATGAATTTCCTTGTCTGGATGTACACCTGGAACTGGTACAGTGAAATCAAACATTATTGCCAAGAAATCCCTATTTTTCTACGATAGCATATCACATCTGATAGTGAGCCTATCTTTTCTATGCGTTCACTGAATTATGACAGACAAACAAGAAAGCGAAACCAACTAGAAGTCTCCTTTTGCGTGCAAACCTCCACAAACTCCATCGGTTGTAACGAACAGCGCTCCTTAGGCGCAGAGGGGCTCAGCGAAACACGCTTCAAGCATACCTTTCTCTCTCGCAGAACTTCGTTCCCTTTAGCTCTCGCTCAGTTGGACCAACTTCTAGTCTGAGGATTTTAAGAAGTAGTATAGTTGTTGTATAGTTGATTGCAGTGCAGAATCAAAAAAGGCAAGCAATAGCTGCACATTTTTCTCGCAATAAGGCTTCGACACACCCCACATTTAGATATTTCCAAAGAAAGGTCACCAAAGTAAGGAGGGACTAACCAATCGTCATCTGATCCATTTCCTTCCCATGGATATATCCGAAAGTTGGGGTAGGCGTGTCACCGGAAGTGACGTGCACTTGATAGAAGTTGCGTGGATAAGCTGTTGCCAGCATGCTTTGCTGATATCCAGCGATGTATGTTGGAAGCAGCTTATCCACATAGCTTCTATCAAGTGCACGTCACTTCCGGTGACACGCCTACCCCAACTCACGATATCGAGTATACCTCACCACTCCTCACTGCAATACTTAATTCTCAGGCACTTTACCATAGAGATACTGAATTTCAAAAGGGCTTAATATTTCATTAGTTCCCCAACTCAAGAAAATTGTATGACCTACCATGCCACTCCATTTCATCCAAAACTTTGACGCAACAGTTTTGCTGCATTGGATAATGTAAGAATATTCTCTGAAATAAGTGCCCTCAGATACATTTAAAAAAATCAAAAATGATCGTAATTGGGACCTCACCTGAAAGGTATTCTGAGGGATCATTTTTCCTTTCGGAAAAACATTGAGCAAAGCTTTATATACATCGAGATCCTTATGAATCCCATA